GTACTTAATTTTTCAAAAAATATTGTTTTTCATAATTTTATTGATGAAAACTTTTTTACCAATATGTCGGGGATTTTGAGTTTTTGGTATGCTGTAGTCTATTTAATTCTCTATACATTTGTAACAAGAACTTTAAGAGTGGCCATACATCCTCAAAATTTATAGGCGTTGGGACATAGCTATGCCCGGACCCAGTTGATGTGTCTCGGTTCACCCCCCTCTTTCCCCAGTGGGACGGGACCCCGTACGTGATTTTACGGGATCCCGTCCCGGAATCCCGGGTTTTTAGCGAAAAACGGGATTACCGGGATTTACGGGATTAATCCCGCGGGATCCCGTCCCGGTCGAGTTTTGAAAATCCGATCCCGTTCCGGGATCCCGGGAATGCGATTTTGCCGACCTCTAGTTTATATATTATGTTGCTGTATCACCGTAAGGTCCGACTAATATATTTAATTAAAATTTTTTAGAGTTCACCAACAACAACAGGTTAATTCAAAATATTCGAGTGCCGCATATTTAGGAGGATTGCCTAAACAGCAAGAACAAATCAACTCGAACATAACATCCCACCAACATTGTCCTTCTACAATGACCGGTTTTGATGTTTACCTTCAATCACCAACACTTTCTTCTACTTCCTCAACAAATTCCTCAGCTAATGGAATTTGTTAGTTCAAATAAAAAATTATTAAAAAAATGTGACTAAGCCTCATTGTTTTAGTGGTTAGCACACTAAACTTGCACTTAGGGAAGTGCAAGCTGACGACAGTTCTTGAAGTTTTCTTCAATGTAATCCCCCTTTCTACGAAATCGGGAATTTATTTCTTATGCCGCTTTATCACTAGTTTTTGTATATCATGTAAACAACTTGATCGAATCGTGGGATTATTTATCTGGATTCTATTACTTACCAAAGATAAAAATAAATTTGCCAAAGATAAATATTGGCAATTGAAAACCCAATTCTAGAAATTAGCAAGCTTCCTTTAATATACTGGGCCATTAGGGCGCGGGGACATTAGGGCGCGAGCTTATAAAACAGTGAGTTACTTATCAAAAAAGATAAAATTTTGCAATGATAACTCTAATGCCTTTATCTACGTTCTCCAAAAATTTCAGAATTTTTGATCAAGAATTTCGGAAATTGTGGCCAAAAATGTTGATTTTCTCAAAAAACCCTAATTTTTCGCGGTTTATCGACTATAACTTCAGAAATATTCGATGATAAATTCTGAAATTTCTGGATAAGGTAGTCAAGGATGTGTAAGAAATTTGAGAAAATTTTTATGAAGTTGGGTCTCGCCTAAGTGTCAGTTTCTAGTGCTGGCGCCCTAATGGCCCCGCGCCCTTATGACCCCAACCCACTTATATTACCTAAAAACAAAGCTTAATTTTCCTTAAAAGTTGGTTCATCTACTGCCTCAACACATTTATCCAACGTAGATAACAATGGGGGCCTTGCTATGCTTCTCGGCAATTCAATCCAACCTTTGGAGGAGAATCATGAAGCTTCAACATCTCTAGCTCCGATGATGATGAATCCGTTGCCGTTCCACTTATATGTATGAATACTTATTTTTAATTTATTTTTAAATTTTATTTTTAAATACAATCATATCGGGAGCAGGCCAGTGTACCGCCGAGCTATAACTTTGTTCAAAATTTTCAAATCAGTGGCACCCTGGTATGTTTCGATTCAGCTGGTCGAGACGCATCGAACCATACCAGGGCGCCACGGATTTGACAATTTTGGACAAAGTCATAGCTTTGCGGTACATTGGGCTTGCGGTACATCGGGGTGTACCCACCATATCACATTATAATATACATACTTTCTTTGTCCCGAGAAATTACTATCTGGTAACGAAATTTACTAAACAATTTTACCCTACTATCACTAAACATTAAACCACATTTCAAAAACGTAACTTGTGCTACGATTATGAGATATGTCGTGTTGAGTAAACAGTCTATTTTTACAAATTTTTTTCGTATCGTTTTTCGGATTAAGACAAGTCCGGGCCTAGGCTAACCCGTCCCATCGCTGCTACGGTTACATAAAATTCGCATGACACTAAACGATAACATCGTAGATGAAGACGGGTTTATGTGGTTTACATATAAAGCTCAAGTAATCACAAGAAAGAAAGCACAAGTACTCTGAGTTTAGCTTAGAACCCGAACCTAGACGAGACCTCAATTATTTTACACTCTAAAAATTGACAAAATCACGAGCGACTTTTCTCTTCTATTTTTTAGTTAGTGTTTATCACAAGTAACCGTACCTGAGGTTTATCTTGTAGATAGTAGGGGTGTGCCGAAACAAATTTTAAAAAGCGAAACGCGAAAGGCGAAAGGCGAAATTAAATTTAAAAAGCGACACGCGAAACGCGAAAGTCCAAAAAACGCGAAAATCTGCGAAAGGCGAAACGCGAAACTCGCACACCCCTGGTATATAGTATAATATCGCACAGATAGGTTCAACTACGATTATTTACTTTCTAGTCATAAGTTATTAGACAAGTAATTATCTGAACTGCCAGTCAGTTTAAACTTTCAAGGTCACTAAAAAATATCTAAACCACCCATACGCAAACAAAGAAATTAAAAATTAAAAAAAATATTAAATATTTTTGATGGCCTTCAACTAATTTTTTACCAACAATAACATGTAAAAAAATTTTTTTTATTTCTTTGTTTAGCCCCTAACCTCCGCTCATAATGCTCACACACATTTACAACAACAATCATCTGTCTCAAACAATAAAAACAACATTCCACGTTCTGTAGCTGTTGTACACAATGTGGGCGGTAACAGGTAATATTTGTATAAATAGTGTTTGTATCGGTATAATACACTGCCCCACATAACTATAAGTTCACCCTAAATTTTCGATTTTCTTAACTTCTATCAAATCAATCGGGCTGATTTTTCCAAAATTGTCGGATCCGTGGCGCCCTGGTATGGTTCGATTCAGATGATCGAGACGCATCGAACAATACCAGGGCCTCCCGGATTCGACAATTTTGAACAAAGTTATAGCTGGGCGGTACATTGGGTCTTAAAGGGTCTATTTGTTCCGGAAAGTTTAATTTTTCGTTTTTATTGGGACTTCCATAAAATTTTAAATGTTCCTTTTATTTACAGCCTCGGCCCAAGTTCAAGTGCCAGCAGCAGCGGCGTAAGCAGCTCAGGACTAAATTCCCCTCCCTTGCCAATCCCCTCATCCTCTTCATTTTCCCCTTCAACCTCAAACAAATATGCTTCCAATATCCACCATCAATTACCCCTTGTAAATGTCAAAAATGAAATTCCTTCAGCTGCGATACATGCAACAGCTCCTTTGCATCCTTCAATGTATCATCAGTCTTCAGCAGTTGGATACTCTCCTATTATGCCTATCACAACGCCTACTCTGCATATGACGTAATTTTTTCTATTTTTTTTTGAATTTGGAATAATAAAATTTGGAATATTTGCTGGAAATCACTCCTAATTGAAGCCTTTTTATGAAAAATAAACGGCTCACCACGTTTGAAATAGGGTTGAGCGGGATCGGGATCCCGGTCGGGATCGGGCGAGATTATCCCGGGTTTTTCGCATCACGATCCCGATTTTTCTGATCCCGCTCCCGAAATATCCCGATCCCGGCCAATCTCAATCCCGAGCCGGGATCGGGATCACCATTCCAAAATCCCGATCCCGGGTTTTTCTCTAAATCCCGATATCGCTGAACTCAAGTTTGAAATAAATACTTCCGGAAGGCTTGGAATTATTTTCTACTAATATTCTCCCTTTTGAACCTACAGGACATCATTACACGTAACAACACCATTACAACCCTACTTACTCCCTCACCATCATGGCATTCTACATTCCGGAGGCCCCTTAACAAACAATCCCCACCACCACCAATCTTCTTCAGGACATCAACAACAATTATTACCTCTTTGCCAAATGCCCCCGATCGAAGGTGTCTTTTATGGTAACCATCACCAACAGCAACAAACATCTTTTTCTATAAACGGAAATGGGGAGGTTAGTGGTGGACGTCTACTTATTGAGGAGCTTTGTTTGTCGCCTCAACTTGAACGGTCTTGTTTGCTTTGGAATTATTTTAATAAAAAAATAATTTTTAAAGGCCTGTTCTAATTACTCTACAGTCGATTCGAACTTGTAATGAAACATACAGTTCTTCACTAGATTTTTGTCTGCAAGTGATTACAAAACATTTAGATACTAATATTCTTTGGGCTAAAGTCGACGAACTTTTCAAAGGCTTAAATGTATATTTTAATATAATATAATCCTTCCGGTTAGTCTTGAAGTTCAATTTTAGACGTCCGCAAAGTTGCAAGTATATTCTTTCCGGAAATACACTTGGAAGATAAACGGAAAGTTTAATATATTCTTCCGGAAAGTTTAATATATTCTTCCGGAAAGTTTAATATATTCTTCCAGAAAGTTTAATATAATCTTCCGGAAAGTTTATTATATTCTTCCGGAAAGTTTAATATATTCTTCCGGAAAGTTGAATATATTCTTCCGGAAAGTTTAATATATTCTTCCGGAAAGTTTAATATATTCTTCCGGAAAGTTTAATATATTCTTCCGGAAAGTTTAATATATTCTTCCGGAAAGTTGCAATTATAATTCTTCCGGAAAGTTTAATATATTCTTACGGAAAGTTTAATATATTCTTCCGGAAAGTTTAATATATCTTCCGGAAAGTTTAATATATTCTTCCGGACAGTTTAATATATTCTTCCGGAAAGTTTAATATATTCTTCCGGAAAGTTTAATATATTCTTCCGGAAAGTTTATCTGTAATATATTTATAGCCATTATTCTTTTGATTTCAACCTCTTTATAGGAGAACTGTCGTTCTATGCAATTTCTTAATGCTTGGGCTGCTTTACACTTGATAGACTTTGCCTATGCTTTATTAAAAGGAGAATTATCCAACAAAATTAATTTTCCACTGTCAGATGGAAATATGGGGTAATTAAATTATGGGGTAATTTTATTTATCAATTTAAATTTTGTAGAAGTATTGATACTCACACACTTGCCCTCCTTGGATGCAATGAGTTGTTTAACGAGTGGAATGCTATTTTACAGGTATTTTATTTTATTTAAATTTTTTAAAATTTTTTTGAAGTATTTTTTAAATTTTCGCTTTCAGCAAATACGTAATTACCAATTTGGGAAGGCTGATTATGTTGCCTTCAAATATATTACCCTTTTGGATGTTTGTTTTTATCGAGGTAAATTAAAATAATTCAAAAAATTAAAAAAAAATTAATTAAAATTCCATCCAAATTTATAACTTATTTCTAATTTAATTATTCTGGAAGCTGTGAATAGATCCTTCCAGAATTAGTTGCTTATTTTTCCGGAATATTCAATATTACTTTCAAAAAGCTTAAAAGTTTAATGTATAATATATGTATATATACCGTATTTATTCTAATTTAACGACATGTCGTTTTATTTTTCAAGCCTCTTTTAGGGTGTCGTATAATAGAGATGTCGCCAATAAATTTTAATTTACGGCGAATTTTAAATTTGCCGTAAATTTTTAAAAAACATTGAAAAATAATATAAATAATTTCAGTATTTGTCTATTTTTTAAATTTAAAAAATTTGCCGCCGACATACCCACTATGTTTAATTAACCTTATTAGAATTATTTGTTTATATTTTCTAAATTATTAAATAAATATCAAAAATCAAATAACGATAAAAAAATAAATTTATTTCTAATTTAGCACCAAACGATCCCCCTAATATCGTCAGTCAATATGATAAAGTAGTTCAAATGCATGATCAAGTACTTCATAGTTGGCTACACCTTCGAAGCTATTCCGGCAATCCATCTATTGTCAAGTCGGATTCTCTCCGAAAATTTAGGTGAATTAATTTTTTAGAAATTTTACAGACTGTTTAGGGGTAATATTTCTGGGACACGCCCAAGTAGGCGCAAAGCCATAACTCCCTGGAAATTTTCTGAACCTTAACAATTTTGGTACCAGTCTCTTTAGCTCGATGAGAGGAATCGTTTAATACCAAATTTTGAAGGATTCGGAAATCTTGAAGCAAGTTATGACTTTGCGCCTACTTGGGCTGTACCCAATATTTCTATATATTTCCGGAGAAATGTATACCCGACAAGTTTAATATACTCTAAATATTTTCAAACTTTCAGGAAGGTTTAAATATTTAAGTTTATTTTTTGGAATGTTTGATATAATATTTCCGGAAAATTGTAAATAATTGGAATTAGTTGTATATATTTTCCGGAATATTGAATATTACCTTTAGATAAGTTGGAATTGTTGTATAAATATATTATTGCATCTTTCCGTATTACCTTCCGGAAACCTTCCGTAAACCCTTCTGTATGGGTACACCCCAACCTACCGCCGAGGCTATAACTTCATTTAAAATGGTCGAATCTGAGAAACTTGGTATGGTTGGATTCAGCTCGTCGATGCATATCGAACCATACCAAGGCTTCCTGGATTCACCAATTCTGAAAGAAGTTATAGCCTCGGCGGTAGGTTGGGCTGCTCGCCTTCCGTATTGCAGTAAATAAATCTTTCAGGAATTATTTATATTTTCAGGAATATTGAATATAACTTCGTTTTCCGAAAAGTTTAATTAACCACCTTCCGGTAAGTTATTAATAAATTCTTCCGGAAGGTTGAAAAATAATTAAACAAGCAAGAATAAACCTCTATCATTTCACTGTCTTATTTTTTGGTTAAATTTATTTTTATTCCAACATTTTTAATTTTTTAAAATTATTAAAAAAATTTTTTTCAGTCAATTAGCTTCTAAATGTGTAGAACGTCTTCGTTCCAGACTCAATCAATCACCGGAAATACAAAATATTCCAGTGTTCCTGAGTGAAATGCTTTTTACTAATAAAAACGTAGGCATTGGTGGAGGTACAAAACTTGTTGATTAAATAATATTTTTTTTAATTTTTATTTTAAAATTAATTTATTTAATTTTATAATTAATTTATTTTATTCTTTTCTTAGGGCATTTTCTTAAATTATTTTTTTAAATTTTTTTTAATTTTTATATTAGCTTTTCTATTTAATTTATTAGTTGATAAGTCATTTTATCTTTAAAAACATTAATTTAAAAAATATTTTTTTAAATAGTCACCTCACCTTAAAATAGACTAAAAAGTAATCTCTCATAATAAGTTGGGGGTAGGGTATAGAGATCGGCCTGGGTCTGGACCAAGGCCTGGGTTTTTCCTGTACCCAGAGTCCAGGTCCAGGCATTTTTTGACCTTCCTGGGTTTTTCCTGGGTCTGGGTTTTTCCTGGACTACAGACCCAGACTCCAATCCAGGTCATTAAAGTAACCCCAGAGTCCAGGAACAGGTCCAGGCTTTTCAAAATTTCCGATCTCTAGTAGGGTATCACTTAGGCAGCTTTATCCTCTCTTTCCGTAAAAATCCGGAAACGTTATTATTTGAAACTTAATTTATAGTAACGAAATTTTCCGGAAAATACATTTCCGGAATTCAATTTCTTGGAAAATTAAACTTTCCGGAAAAGCAAATTTGCGTTACATCATTTTCGTTCTATAAAATAATACATAAACATTTTTAGCTCAAAACGACGTAATTACGATTTAATAAACGTTATTTACGCATTCAATTAAAATTTTCTGCTTATTGCCTTTTGCAAATTAATACATTATTTTTGGAAAAAAAATTATTTTTCAACTAATCTCTGTTTAATTAAATATTTTTTGAGGGAGGTTTTTGGAAGATAAAATGATTTTTCACTGAAAATAATAGGGTTGAGGTCGTTTTGGCGCCGGGCCGTTTTGGCGCGAGAACTAAAAACTGGTACCCAGGCGATACATAAATTCTTAAAAATTTTCTCAAATTTCTTTAACATCGTTGACTACCTCCTCCAGAAATTTCAGAATTTTTCATCGAATATTTCTGAAGTTATAGTCGATAAACCGCGAAAATAAGGGTTTTTTCGGAAAATCAACATTTTTGGCCACAACCTCCGAAATTCTTGATCAAAAATTCTAAAATTTTTGGAGAACCTAGATGAAGGTACGAGAGTTATTATTACAAAATTTTAACATTTTTGATAAACAACTCGCTATCTTATAAGCTCGCGCCAAAACGGCCCCGCGCCAAAACGGCTCAGTTCCAAAATTATATTTTTTTTATTTATTTTTAATTTTTAATTATTATTTATTTTTATTTATTTTCTTCTCAAAATACAAAAAATAATTATTTTATTTTACTCTTTTTTGGTTTTTAAAACCATTTGAGGCCAACAAATTGCCAGTATTTGTATATAGCTAAAAATAATATTCTCTTTTTTTAAATTTATTTTAATTAATTAATATAATCTAAAATAATTTCTATTTTTATTTATTTTTGTTTAATTTTATATAATTTATTTCTCAATTTCAAAATTGCTTTTATTCATTTTATACAGTTTTGCATTTAAATGGGCAGGCCGAAACTTGCGGACCCGACGAATTTCTCAAGACATAGCTCATTCGAAAGAGCTCGACGAGCTGAGTCGAATGACATCAAAATCATCGTGATTGTACAAGCTTGGACAAAGTTACGATAGAAAAACAAAAACCTAAACCTATGGTCCGCAAAAGTCGGTCCGCAAGTTTCGCACTACCTTTATGTGTTATACATTTTTACTCTTATATTCATTTATATTCACCCTATTTATTTTTTATAAAGTTTTCCGGAAGGTTTATAACAGAGGTGGGTCGGAACAGTCAGAGGTGTCGGAAATCGGAACAGTCGGAAATCGGAAATGGCTCAAAAGTCGGAACTCGGAAATCGGAAATCAAAATTTTTTTCGGAAATCGGAAGAAAAAAACGTCGGAAATCGGAAATCGGAAGGAAAAAACGTCGAAAGTCGGAAATCGGAATTCCGACCCCCCTCTGGTTCATAACAAGAATTAGGTTTATTTATTTTATACTTATACCTACATACATTATATATTTCCGGAAACGTAATATACAATATAAATTCAGAACTTTCCGGAAGACTAATATAAAAATATATTTTCCGGAAAAATTCATTCATCAAAAATACAATTTCACAGAAACTTATACAATTCCGGAAGAATACTAATTTTTTAAAATAAAACTTTCCGGAAACTATTATTTAATTAAATATAAAACTTGCCGGATGAGTAATATAATTCTCAGATTATTTTTTTGAAGTAAAAACAAAACTTTCCGGAACTGACATAATTTTCCGAAAGTTTAATTTAAAAAATAAAACTTTCCGGAAACTAGTATAATTTTCCGGAAAGTTTATTTTATTAAAAATATAACTTTCCGGAAATATAAAGTTATATTTATAATTTAAATAAAAAGAAAAATATATTACATTTCCGGAAAGTTTAATATTCAAGAAATATTTCTTTTTAATTTTATAGTTTCCGGAAAGTAATACATATATTATAGTTATTATTATAAAATGACTAATATACTCATTCATTTAGCAATACCTTTGTTTATATTTTCTATTTAATTATTAAATTATACAAAAATCTTCCGGTTTTTGTTAATTCTCCCTTTACATTTTCTTCTATTGTATTTTATTAATTTATTCTTCAAAAAATTTTTTTTCCAAAATTTTCTTTTCTTGCCGCTTTTATTATTTTCACTTCAAATTATTATAAATCTCTCTTGCCTTTTTGCTTTCTATTTTTTAATTCTGTTGCCTTTTATTTTAAAATTTATTTTTCAGGTTTTTATTTTTTATTCGCAATTATGTAATATTTTTTAATATTTATTTTCATTAAAAATAAATTTTTTTGAGTGGCTTTTTTAGAGTTTTTGATTAATTTTTGGACTATAAAAAAATCGTAAAAAAATTATAAAAATATTTCAAAATATTTTATCTTTAATTAGACTATTTTTGGAGTATAAAAAAGGAAAGGAGAACATTTTAACATACATAAAGATAGGGGAATGAGTAATTAAACTGAATATTATTTTACATGATGGTATTTATACATACAGTATTTATATTTTTTTGGTTCGGATTACACAGAAAACATAGTCGAACTTCACTTTTAGACATACATCGAAGATGAAAAATTCTTAAGATGAGAGAACTCTAAATTGGCTTATGGCTATCCTTCACCCAATGACTGATCCTATTAGAAATATAATATCTTAAACTAGTATCTCGTTTTAAAGTTATCTAGAAGTTTGACACTTCTTCCGGTGAATTATGCCTTTTTTGACCTTCTGGCCCTGAATTTTATGAAAAATAAAATTTTTTGGCTCAAAAAATAGAAAAAAAATTTTAAAAACGGGGAAAGACCACTAATAAAAATTTTTTTTAATTTATTGTTTTAACCGGAACAATTTTAATTTAATTTATTAATAATTTATAGCTTGTGTAAAAATATAAACAAGTTTATATTCTTGTAGCTTATAGTTTGCTAATGCTTAAAAAATTTTTTTTATAATTTTTTATTCTCATAATATTAATTAATTGGGTATTTTCTCTCATTAAAAAAATAATAAATTTATTAGGGTGTAACATAAATAATTAGCCCCCTTGAGCAAAGTTAAATAAATATTTATTAAAATTAAACTAAATGTTTCCAGACTTCGAATTATATTTTTTTATGATCCTAAGAGAGTTGCCTATTTTCTGGCAAAAAATCAGAATTTTAGGAAAAAGTTGGCATTAGTTAGAGGTGAAATACTAAAACTTGTATTTTTGAAACGAGGCAAATTCTTTTTGATTTTTCTCTGAAAATTGATGAGTAAGAATGAAAATTTCAATAGATCTCATAAAGCAGAATCAGTTGAATACAATGATATAAAAAATTCCTCTGGAAAACGACTGGCTGATTTTTTAGAGGGTCGCATTTGTGAATTTATCCCCCTGCATATAAGGCGAAAGTGATGCAAGCTTGTCGCTCAGCAAATTTACACGGTTTTAGCGTATCTCAAAAATGGCTACCATACACAACGGGTTTGAATCCAGGGATTTATTTTTTTAGTCAATTTTGGAAGTAAGGCTCTTTGCTTAATAACCCAAAAGTTTCAACTCACTACGACAATCACTCGTTCGGAAATGGGGAAAAATCACAGGATAATAGGTGCGGCAATCTTGCAAAATTTTTTGCTCGCGTCTGCGCCTCTATCTTAAAGCCAAATGGAGGTATTTCGAAAAATCCTAATTTATTTTGTTCCCCATTTAATTCTCTATTATTTGATTGTATTTTGATATTATTTGATTAAGTTTTAATAAAGTTATGATAAAAAAGGTGCGGGCAAAGACTTTTTAGTCACCCTGTATGTATTTATTTATTTATTTATTTTACACAATTTTTATTTATTTTTCTGCAAATTTTGCATTTTCTTGCAAGACTAAATTTTGTACCTTTTTGTGTTTCCTTTGCTTTTTTAGACTAAAAAACATGGGGACATTTATCACTCTCGTTGTTTGCCTTTCCGTTAAATAAATTTTTACACTTTTTCTTTTTTTATTTTTTTTTGTTTAATAAAAAAATTTTTAACGGTCTTTCCTCTATATTTTTTTTAATTTTTAATGGCGATGCCCTTTTTTAAAAATTTTGATAAATTATTAATTGATAGTTAAATGACCGTCTTTATGTAGGGGGTAGGGGGGGTGTAGGGGGTTCAGAAATTCTGTTCAAAATAACATCGATTCCCCTAAAAATTGGCTCACTAATTTTTCGAAATATTTGATGAAAAATTCTGAAATTTTTGGATGAATCAGCCAAGAACATACAAGTCATTTAAGAAGATTTTTAGACATTTAGGTTTAAGCTACGCTTCAGTTTAGAGAGGCACGCTCAAACTTCCAAGCGCCCACACAACCTCAACCCTTATTAATAGAGACCGGATTTTTATGCAAATGCATATTTTTTTGCAAACTTGACATGATGTATAATGCACAAAAAACACTGTTTCCGCATGTTTTGAAAACTCTAGAGGGGGTTTCTATATGCATATAATGCATATTTTTGCATATTCCGGACTTTGCTGCATAATGCATATTTTACTGCATATTTTGCATTTTTAATGCATAAATATCCGGTCTCTACTTATTAACCATCTTTTTAAAAAAAATAATAATTAAAAATTAAATTATTATCAATCTTTGAACGGCAATGTTGAATTGCCGGAAATATGGTGCAAGAAAATTAAAAAAATAAAAAAAATAAGGAGGGCGTGGAAAGCGAGAAGAGACATCTAAAAATAACGAAAGGTTGGAGGGGAAGCATCCGTTTCAGAAAAAAATTAAAAAAAGAAACAAAGTGTTTCCGGAAATTTCCTTTTAAAAATTAAAAAAAAATAAATTTATCATCCCCTTAAATAATAACCAAAATTAAAGAGAAGGTCCACAGTCTTTTCTCAGAAAATTAGTTAAAATGGGGGAAAATATTAATTTTTCTCTCATTTCGACAGGGTTTAGGTCGTTTCGGCGCCGGGCCGTTTTGGCGCGAGAACAAAAAAGTGGCACTTAGGTGAGACCTAAATTTATAAAATTTTTCTCAAATTTCTTTAACATCCTTAACTACCTCCTCCAGAAATTTCAGAATTTTTCATCGAATATTTCCGAAGTTATAGTCGATGGACCACGAAAAATTAGGCATTTTTAAGAAAATCAACATTTTTGGCCACAATTTCCGAAATTCTTGATCAAAAATTCTGAAATTTCTGGAGAACTTAGATATAGGTACGAGAGTTATTATTGCAAAATTTTATCTTTTTTGATAAGGAACTCGCTATCTTATAAGCTCGCGCTAAAACGACCCCGCGCCAAAACGGCCCAGTCCCCCATTTTAGCGCCTTTTTAGTCTTTTCACGTTTTCTCGGCTATTTCCGTCTAATAACCAATTTAAAAGAAAAAAATATCTTTAAAAATATTATTTTAAATATAAATGACGAAAATAAAGGTTGGTGCAATTTTATGCTCCAATAATTTTAAAAACGTATATTTTTGCCAAATAAATGTTTTTAGGGTGAATATACATGTCTAGAGAGTTTTTATGAAATTTTAGAATCGTTAAATAAATTTCCGGAATGTATAAATCGCTTTAAAAAATACTACCTTTCCTAATTTTATAATAATAACTTTCCCACTTGCTTTAAAAATTATATATACCGTATTGTCTCCAATAGAAGCCCATGCCCTAATAGAAGCCCATCCAATGAGGGGTATTGAAAAATAGAGGCCCTGGGCTTGTATTAGAGACAATACGATATATATTTTCCGAAAATTTTTAACATTCCGGATTTTATATTTATTCTAAGTTTTAAAATCAAACTTGAAAATTGTTAAACTTTCCGGAAAATAGTTAAATTGATTTTCTGGAGAATTAACTAAACTATAACGGGAGCAGGCCAACGTATCGCGAACTCAGCGTACCGCAGAGCTATAACTTCGTTCAAAATAGTCGAATCCGGGACGCCTTGGTATGGTTCGATGGATATAGATGAGCTGAATCGAAATATCAGGGCGTCCTGGATATCCCCTGTCATGTCCGAGTGTTCGTACTGTGGAAAAATTGTGGATGGGAGATGGGATTGAACCATCATGGAATGAGCCCAAACCGAAGCACAACCGACTGTGCCACCATCCAACGCGATGCTGGGTTATTTATTTTCATTTATGTTCTTTCTGCAAGCGCGGACACAACACTCCTTCCGCCTTGCGAAACCAAGCGTCCTCGCTTGTTGCTTGTCTTCTATAACTATCATCTGTTTCGATTTTTGGAGAGCACACACAGAAACCCATTTTGTGGCATTTGCTGCGCTTCATGCGCCTTACGCATTTTTATATTATATTAGCCTCGCAACACCGGCTAGCCTATCACAACTCAGGCATTTAATTTCTCACAGGGTCTTCTCCTTTTTCTCTCCACAGTGACAGAATGTCAGATCATCACAGCATTTGAAGGTTCGCTGAAATTTCCTCAGGCTAAGCCTGGCCTGTCCGACCGCGCCATTATAATGTTCATACTGTGGAAAAATTGTGGATGGGAGATGGAATTGAACCATCACGGAAAGAGCCCAGACCGAAGCACAACCGACTGTGCCACCATCCAACCCGATGATGGGTTATTTATTTTCATTTATATTCTTTCTGCAAGTGCGGACACAACATCCCCCCCCCTTGAACGAAGTTATAGCTCGGCGGTACGCTGGCCTCGCAGTACGTTCGGGCGTACTCAATTATAACTTTCCGGCAAAGTAAATAAATCATTATTTTTCGAAATAAATTTAAACCTTCCGGATTTGAAAATATTCCGGAAATGGTACCCCAAATTTATATTTTAATATACCGTATTTACTCGATTAATTCCCCCGAAGAATTATTTTTTCAACTCATCCCTGGCATGTGGAATTTTCAAAGGAGGGGAATTATTCGAGTTTTGAAATTTGAACGTGTAGTAGGGTATTTGGGGGAGGGGAATTATTTTTTCAACTCATCCCTGGCATGGGGAATTAATAGAGGGTGGGGAATTATTCGAGGGAGGGGAATTAATCGAGTAAATACGGTAATATAAACCCGTTGCAATACCCCACATCTTTTATTTTTTTTTGATTCTTAATAATTAAAAAACATTTTTTAATTGTTCTCAATATTTTTTTTATTTTGTAACAAACAGAAGCCGTATAAATTTTAACAAAATAACATATCCTTTACATTTTAAAAAATTATAAAGTTCATTCACAAGTCCAAACAACGTCAATTTTATTATGATTATATATTTTTAAGAGGTTAAATAATATTTTTGCCTAATCCTCACTTTAAAATTATTACAACGGCTCAGTCCCATTAAAAGTACATTAAACATTCTTAAAAATACTTAAAAGTTTAAATGTTAAAAAATACCAAAAAAGTTCATTTTACAGGCAACATCATTTTTAACGTAAAAAATCTTTTTTTCCGTTCCATTTAATACTTAACACCCCTTTACCCTTACTATCTTTTATAGCTTAAATTGCTACATCATAGTAAACTTAACGGATTAAAACAAGTTTTAGGATTAAATTATTATTTTTTTAGTATAAGAATGAGTATATTAGTTAGTAATATTTAAATTTATTTCTCAATAACATCATTTAAATTAAATAAACTTGGCTTTTATATTCACTTTAAACTATACATAGAACCGTACCGTACTACGGCCGTATTTTTCGTATTTATTGGTATTCCGTACCGTTTTACGGAACGGAAACAAAACGAAATACCGATAATTTCGATCGATAAAAATTTCTAAAGTTTTATTTTATTTTAAGCTAAAAAGGTTCTCGGCCTTTGATAATTTTCAAAATTTTCGCCTACGGGGCTAAAAAGGAAAAAAATCTTGTTTCTTGGACTTACATCTCCTAAAAATTTTCGTCTGCGTGTGTTTATCCCCACAATTTATAAATAAAAATAATTATTTTTAACTAACTTAATTTTTTAAAACATGGTACGGAATACCGATAAATTTTTATCGGTATTTATCGGTATCGGTATTATACGGTATTACGGTACGGAACAAAATTCCGATCTCTACTTAAAACACTATTATTAAACTTTCCGGATTGCATATCTATCTTTCAAAAAATTACTTTAACTTTCCGAAAATATAAATATATTAATAGCCTATATTTTTTGTAGAATCCAGAAAATTATTTATATTTTTAGTAAAAACCTCATTAAGTACCAAGAGTAATTATTTCGATCTCTCGCTGTAGTAGGTAATTAATAGAGTCGGGATAATTATTTAAGGGAGAGACATTAATACAGTTTATACGTTATATGTATAATAATAGATTATTATTAAACTCTCCGGATTGTTTAACTCTTTCAAGTAATTAAACTTTCCGGAAATATAAATATAATAATACAATATAATAACATTGTATTATATAATAAATCCGGAAAATTATTTAAACTTTTTCCGTAAATACATTCCGGAAAAAAATAAATTAGTATTCCAGAAAGAAATATTAAACCTTCCGGAAAGTTTTATATTTATTCCGGAAATTTATATTTATTCCGGAAAAAAATTTTATATTTATTCCGGAATTTATATTTCTTTCCGGAGTATTCCGGAAAGAAATATTAAACCTTCCGGAAAGTATACCTCTGTTTAAGTATAGAATTTTTATATTCCGGAAAGTATAAACTTTCCGGATTTAAAAATTCCGGAAATTAGTATTCCGGAAAGAAATATAAAACCTTCCGTGAAGTATAACTCTGTTTATGTAAAGCATTTTTATATTCCGGAAATTATACAACTTTTCCGGATTTAATATATATTAAATAATATATTAATTATTATATACATATTAATATATATTATATTAAGTATATATTAAATATATTAAACTTTTTTTCATTTAATTTCAGTTCATTAATAGTAAAAATGTTCCAAACAGCAAAAAATACGTTAACACAAAAATATTCTCAATTTATTCAAAACACACCAAAAACAAAAAAATTAAGAAAAATAACTAATAAAACGAATAGGCAGAGTGGAAAATTAATTTTGTTTGAAACATTTTTTATTCTTTTCGCAACAATTATAGTAAGCGAATCGGCAACCTTTCAAAGGGTACATCACTATATTGAACGGCGCAGCCAAAAAATTGAAGGAACAAATTTAAATTTGGGGAAAATTATTTTTTCTGAAGAAGAAAATACGGAGGATGAGGCAGAACAGGAAAATAATAAGGAAAGCATTGAAATTATTGAAACTTGCGATATTTACGAGAATGAACAGTTGCATGGTTAGTTTATATGTAGAATACGGTTGAACCTCATTAGCGTCGCCTTTCGAGATTAGAGGGGGAGTGAGTTGCGGATGTAGTGAGTGAGTTCCTAGTGAGTGAGTGTGAGTTCCGGAGTGAGTTCTATAGTGAGTTCCGGTGAGTTCCGGATAGTGAGTTCCTTGAAGTTGTGAGTTCCGGATGTATGAGTGAGTTCCGGGTGTGTGTTCCGCGAGTTCCGGATGTAATTAAAAAGGACTGGAAAATTTCCTTTGCCTTTACGCGTGCATTATAATTAGAATTATGGGGGGGAGGGGGAGACCTAAAATTCAACTCGCGAGGATAATACCGTATTTACTCGATTAATTCCCCTGGGGAATTATTTTTTCAACCTATACGTGGCACGGGGAATTATTCAAGAGAGAGGAATTATTCGAGTTTTGAAATTTGAACGTGTAGTAGGGTATTTGGGGTGGGGAATTATTGTTTCAATCCAACTCTAGCATGGGGAATTAATCGAGAGGGGGGAATTATTCAAGGGAGGGGAATTAATCGGTTAAATACGGTATGTATGAGATTTTTTAAAAACGTTAATGTAAGAATTATTAAATTCTTACTCTTAAAACTAGCCGGGTAGACTTTAAAACCCCTCAAAAGCCATACCGTAACCAATAGTTTTCTAGTGGATGTGGGAGGAGGGACCTATATAAAATGGAGGGTCCTATATACACTCCTCCACGAAAGTATAAGGGCACCTGTATTTTCGCAATTTTTTTACTTCCAATGATCCAAATTTTCTGAAAATTTAGATACACACCTTTTAGTTAATAACTAACAAGATGTCAATAGATAAAAAAAATCAGCCAAAAATCTATTGACATCTTGTTAGTTATTCATTAAAAGGTGTGTATCTAAATTTTCAGAAAATTTGGATCATTGGAAGTAAAAAAACTGCGAAAATACAGGTGCCCTTATACTTTTGTGGAGGAGTGTATATACAATGATCACTACTCTAATCCAAATATAATTTTCGTATTATTTCTAAAAAATTTTTAGCATTAATGGATCGAATATGCGAACTTTGCCATGACATGTACAGTCATCAAAGGCCGAATATGAGAGCTGATTGCCGGTATAATTTAATTAGAAAAAATTTCAAAAGAATATTTATATTTAAAATTAGGTCCGGATGTTTCCGAAATGAGGACTTTAAACGTTGTCTCAGACTCTTTCGACCAATGACCAATTTAATTCACAACAAGAGTCGAAAAAGTCGAAGCATTAAATGAATGGGACAATCAACTCTTGTATTTTATAAATAAATTTTTAAAAAATCAGAAATTTTTTTATCAAATTTTAATTTAAAGGTGTGATGAGTGTATAATCAGTTTTTTAAAAATATTTCTTTTTTAAGATTATTGGTACTAGAGTTGGGTGGGATCGGGATCCTGACGTAAAATCGGGATTTTGGAAGGCAGGCCGAAACTTGCGGACTGAAACTCTCAAAACATAGCTCATTCGAAAGAGCTCGACGAGCTGAGTCAAATGACATCAAAATCATCGTGATTGTACAAGCTTGAACAAAGTTACGATAGAAAAACAAAAACCTAAACCTATTGTCCGCAAAAGTCGGTCCGCAAGTTTCGCACTACCTTTTGGAATAATGATCCCAGTCCCGATCTTGGTCAACTCTACTTGGTACTACATTAGCTGCAATTATTTTATTTTTCGTAATATTCCTTTTAAAAAAAGTACACATGGGTAAAGTAATCCATAAAGTAGTCCATAAGTACCATCTCTGGTTTTAGAATGTTCAGGTATTATGCGTGAGTATTTCAACTCTAGATATGTATGTAAACTAGATTGTAAACTCTAGATTGTACATAAATATACATAGGTTATTGGTACTAGAGAGGGGGGGGGTACTAGAGTTGGGCCAGTAGGCTTCAGAGCCAGTCTATTCCCGTAAAAGTTTAAAATACAGTAAACCTGTTACAAATACTATTACTTAGACCCATAGACCACGTTGACCAGACCCTTCCTTGAAGAGGAAAAAGGAAACGGAAGAAAAATATTATCGTGGCAGCTAATGCGAAAGTACCAGATTCTTTTCCTCTATGTTCCCAAAAGTCCGCAAGTTATCTTAAAAGGATTATTTTTTTCCTTTTTTATCTCGACTAGTGTGCGGCACGGGACGGGATCCCGTTCGGGATTTTGTGGGATCCCGTCCCGAAATCCCGATTTTTAAGCGACGAACGGGATTACGGGATTTACGGGATTAATCCCGCGGGATCCCGTCCCGTAAAAAATTTTGAAAAAAATCCCATTACGGGATCACGTGAATGCGATTTTGTTGCACACTAATCTCGACATAAAAAGGAACATAGAGGAAAAGAACCAGCAATTTTTATTTCAAAATTTATATTGTATAATAAACTAATTTTCATGGTCATTTGATCAAATTAAAATCTCAGCAATTTTTTTCTCCTTTCTTAGTAAATTTTTTAATACTATTTTTATTATTTTAGTTATAAATATATATCAATTTTAAAAAATATTGAAAGAAGTCACCGAGGCTGGAAAAGCCGAGATCGCGGGTCGAGGGGCAGATTTGGACCCGAAACCGAGTATAACCGAGATATTAAAAATTTTTATAGCTTTTCAAATTCCACCTAAATTTAATAAATTTTATCAACTTTTCGCTAAATCATTATCAAATTAATATATTCCTTTTGATTCAGAGCCAATGAATTTAGCAAAATCTGATCTATGTAGGGTCTGAGTCTGATATACTCAATCCTCATTACCGTAAATGCTGAAATAATGTCCCTCTCTCAAATAATTACCCCCCCCCTTTTAATTAACAACTCCAGCGAGAGGTTGAAATAATAATTACCCTGGGTAATTATTTTAGCAAATACGGTATTCTTTTAAATCCCCTAAATACCACTTATTCTACCAAGATTCCGCGAAATTCTATTATTATTCGAGTTACTGTTTTTCTGTATTAAAACCTATGTAAATAGGAAGAAAAATAGAGATTTTAGCTTTTGCCAAAGATAAATCTAATTTTCGATGTAAATATAAAAAGTTGAAATACCCGAAATGATTTATGCAAAAATTTAAATAAAAATAATAGTTAAATATCAGTTAAAGTTAAATAATAATACCAGACCTGGTCACGGATACTGATTTTGGACAGACGATACAGGCGGATATCCGCAGGCATTTTGGTATTTATTGTATACGATATTCATGCTGTGAAAAAATTCATTGGATGGGAGATGGAATTGAACCATCACGGAAAGGGCCCAGACCGAAGCACAACCGACTGTGCCACCATCCAACTCAATGCTGAGTTATTTATTTTCATTTATGTTCTTTCTGCAAGTGCCGACACAACAGTATTATCTGTATCCATATCCGTATCCATGACCAGGTCTGAATTATACTCAAATTTGATATCAGAAATGTTGCAAATAGAGACCGGACCGATACGATATATCGATAAAAATATCGATATATCGATGTCTATATTATCGATATCGATATTATCGATCGATACAACTTCCCCGTCATTGGTACAACTTCCCCCGTCGGGGAAAAATATCGAAAAATATCGACGATATTTTTTGATACTTGATATTTTTCGATACCGATATTATCGATCGATCACTCAAGTCCGGTCTCTAGTTGCAAACCGACTTTTAAAGAGATGAAAACGAAATCGGCATAAGCAACATTCCAAATTAAAGTGTATATAATATGAATTTAGTTATATACAGCCGGACCATGTCAAGATAAGATACGTTTTTAATATTTTTTTGGGAGTTTTGGGAGTTGCATGAGCCACTTTTTTAGATACAGCTCAATACAAATTACAATTTCTCAGCTTTAAATAAATATCATAAAGGAAGGTCCGACTGTACTAGTTTTATATCAAAAAAATAAATTTATATATACAAGGTGACAAAAAAGTAACCGGGCACAATATTTTTGGCATAACTTTTTTCAAATTAAAGATAATGAGATCAAATAAGGATGAAATCATAGAGAAATAAATGGAGAATAAAATATAAAAATCTTTTAGAATTTTCCCTATTCTACTTTGAGATAAGGTTCAAGGAAAGTGAAAAAAATTATTGCTCCAGAAAAATTATTGCAACTTTCTTAATCCTTAATCAAAAAATTTTTAATTCTGCAATATGATAGAGAAATAAATGGGCTACAAAATAAACTTGGAATTATCTAAAAATGTTATGAACAAAAAAAGTTATAAAGGATAGAAAAGTGTCTGGTTACTTTTTTGTCACCCTGTATAATGCGGGTAATAATTTTATGTTGAAACATACTAAAAATATACGCTTATAAACGGGTATGGGTATGATAGTTGGTAATGAGGAGTACAGGGACACAAAAATTGGGTTCGAATAGGCTGATAAAAGAAATTTTTTTTTAAAGTAAAAATCATATGTTAGTAACCCTAAGAAAATAAATAATAAGCAAGGGATGTTCGGAGGGGCAAAAAAAATTCCCAGTTCCATAAAAACAGAGCTAGTACTTATCGCCATAACATAAGATATATAATTGGAAATTGGGTGGAAAACAAATGCCACAAAGTTCAAAATTACCGAAAATAACGGGTAATATAATGTAAAGCATATAGCTATTAATTTCCTAAGGCTGAGCAGTAGGCGGCGGTGTGTAATGGCTAACACATCAGTCCGGTTTACTGAAAATGCTGGTTCGCTCCCAGCCGCCGAATAACCTTTTGCACTAGCTAAAGGAGAGAAATAGCTATAGCCCAGCTGCTTTAAAATAATAAAAGCTTTAGACATGCTTAACATAAATGCTTCCCATTTAGAAGTAATGAATACCAATAAAAACTGCACCTACAACCCATGCAACAAAAACTCCAACTGTCCAAAACATGAAAATAAGATTGCCACATTCAACCCATTCAATCTCAAAAACGTCTCGCTTTTTTCGAATTTTCTGATCGTCAAAGCTTTTAAAGCATTCGTTGTCATTCACAGAAAATAATGAATTTTCGTGATCGTCTTTATGAAAACTGATAAAAACCGAATTTGGGCATGTTGCTCCATTCAAGAGACATTCTAAAATAATTTTTTAAAATTTTTCTGATCGATGTTTTATATTTTTATGTATTTCTTGGGCCTTGTTAACTCTAGCTCAACTCTAGAATTTAGGAAAGCCTTAGGAGACGCAGGCAAAAATTAAAAATCCATGACTAACTTGAAAGCCTTCAAATTCATTTACTCTCTTCAAGACCTCTGATATCTTCATTAATCCCTTTATCCCGACAAATCTACCATAATCTGACCTTTTACTCCGATTGAGTTTTTGCCTTATATATTAAAGAACTACTTAATTCTTTAGTAAGCGTCTTAATACTTGTCAGGATCTATCATCTTCCGGAACTTATTTACTTTAACTACCCACCCCAAAATTTTACCGGATATTTGTTTTATATGGTCAATTTATATATCATTCGA